GGACGTGTAGGTTATGGTTGGTCTCGTTAACGGTGCATTGTATTGTGTATGTTACACTCATGTATTGCGTTGTTTTTTCTTTCGTATTTCTGAGTCACCGAAATGGACTGCTGGCCGTCCACATGTGCCAGAAGTAAACCGGACTACCGAAACTGCTTTGTGAATTGTATCAAGTGTGTATCTTCACTATTGACATGCACATTTAATTCCCGAGGTTATAAAAATTACAGTCATTATCTGCGTACTCTCGTTTGTCTTTCCGGAATTCTACTTGAATCTATCGTCTGGAATATGCGTTACTCCCAATCTATCCAACAGGCGCATCGCCTTCCGCATTGCCGTATTATTGACTACAATCAAGTTATCACCCCGCCTCCCTTTAGCCGGCCCTCGGACTTAAGGATCACAATCTTGTCTTGTAATCTGAGGGCGCGGGTTCGAGCCAGTACGGAAGCACACCGGCGTACTGCTGATGCCTCCCCATCACACTTTAAATTGTGTACGACTTTCTGGTTTCAAGCTCGCACACTACAAATTAAGATTACCGGGTTTCAGTTACCTCATACATTTGAAATATGTTGCCGCTGTTGTTCCCGGGTTCGAACTGTTGTTGTGCATCCCATCGCAATGAGGCTGGACCTTACCGTGGTGCGATGGTCTGTGTGCCTCAGTGATCCGTTGAGCTACGCTGTGTGGTGCTTTTTTGCACCTTCAGAGCCACTCATATCAGATTGGTCAGTGGTTAGAGGCCAGACAAACTCAGCCTACTGGTCCTCCAGGTTCGGGGTTGAAATGAGGATGGCGCCTTATTCATTAAAACAGACTCCTTGTAGCCCAACGCCAAATCCGCTGCCTTGCGGTCAGGTTTTTAAACTAAACGCTTTGGTTGAGAATCCTAATCGTTCTTTTGTCTAGGCCTGGGCAGCCTGACAGTATCCTGCCCACGCAATACTATGAACTGTACTTCAAATAAATTCCTGATGCTCTGGCCACCGCAGGGAATAATCAATGGTGCCCTACCTTCTGCATCGAGCAGGGTGTATAGGGGTTTGGATGCTACTACTCAAGCCTTCCCATCTCTTACGTTTTTCTCCCTTGTGATCCCTTTCCAACCACTTTTATCCTCCCAGTTTTCAACCTCCCGATTGTTGGCCCTCCTTAACATGCTTTGCTAGGCGTTTATCTTCTAGTTTCAACTCATGCTAAAGCGGAGCGTCACTCCTGCTCTGTCGACAAGCCCATCTCCAACCAACCCAGTTCATCGGCTTCCATTTAGAGGCCTCGATCCTCCTTCGGATTGGCATGCCTCAGTGTACGCACACTGCTACGAATCGGTCAACAGGCAGCACTTGCCCAAACCTTAGAGACCCTCTCAATCGATATCTGCTGCTTATCAGAGACCCGCCTGCAAGACTCGAGCTCTGTGCTCACTCTACGATCCCCTTCAGGTGACACCAGCAATATTTTCTCATTGCGCCTATCCGGTGACCATGCAGCTACGACCCCGGCCAAGCTGGTGTTCGCATTATCCTGAGTCCCTGGGCTGAAGCTGCCCTGGTTGATTGGATCCCAGTCAGTAGCTGGATGTGTGCGGTCCGATTGACTGGCTTGTTCAAAGCTTCAAAGTCCAGCGGGGCTAATAGGTGTCTATACCTCATCGCTGCCTACGCGCCCACATACTGTAGCAATGATACATTAAAACGACTTCTACCGCCAACTGCCTCAGCTCCTTCGCCACAGAAGAAGCACGGACACTGTTGTGCTGGCAGGGGATCTGAACGCTCAAGTTGTAAATTTGTCCACAGATGAAATGCATCTGGGTGGTCAGCACGGTGTAGGCTCCCGTAATGATAACGGCGAGCGGTTACTTCATTTGTGTGAAGGTGCCCGTTTATTTCTTGCGAACACTAACTTCCGACACAGCACCCTCCGGAAGGTGACTTGGCGCTCACCAGCCTCGAACCAGCCCCGAACGCAAATCGACCACATTGCTATCAGTTACCGCTGGAGAGGCTGCATCCAGCACTGTCGCTCGATTTGGAGTACAGGTGTGGACACCGACCATGCACTCGTATGTGCTGACATGCGGATGCGTTTTGGCGGACGCCCACGACGACGTTGTGAGCGCAGACACCAGCCAACTAGCGAAACCAGCTGTTCTGAGTGCCAATCAAACTACGCTGGCATTCGAATTGAGTAAGCTCTCACTGAACACAGTTTAAGGTCACTGGTCGCATGTTCACCGGATCTTACTAGCAGCAGGCAAATGCTCATTTGGCATGTCTAATCGCCATTATGGACATTGGGTCTTTTCACGGTCTCTGGATCTTATCGATGCTCACCAGTATGTTCCGGCTGGAAGCGAACACAATGAAACTCGCAAAGTGCTCCGGACAAAACTCCGTGCTAGCTTGAATAAAGACCGTGAAGCGTAGTGGTCTTTTCGTGCGTCAGAGATGGAAGTAGCCGTTGCCCTTGGTAGCCATCGAAAGTTATTCCGTCTGACACGGGAAACGTGCAGCAGGAGACCTGGTTTTAGTGAAACAATTTGTGACTAGAGTAGACAGTTTATCCACAATTTGTCAAAACGTTTGGAGCGTTGTGCTGAGCATTTTGAAAAGCAATTTAATCGGCCAGAATTATTCGATTCCTCAACGGCCAGTGATCGCCCTGCTCCGTGGGATGTCCCTTTGGATCCGCCCAATCGCTCAGAAGTCAAACGTGAGATCGGACTTTTGAAGTTGAACAAATCCGCGAGACCAGATGATCTCAATCCAGCCCTCTTCAAATTCGGGAGCCCTGCTCTTGTGGATGATTTACACGAGTTACTAGTGCAACTGTGGAAGCAGAAAACTATCCCTACCAACTGGAGCCGCTCCGTTATTGTTCCCATCTTCAAAGGAGGCTCGCGTTCGGAATGCGGCAACCATAGAAGAATCAGTCTGATCCCTTTCGCCTCCAAATTACTTGCCTCTGTAATCTTTCACAGACTGACTCGCTCGTGAAAGCCAGATTCGTGGGGACTGTGCCGGGTTTCATCGAGGTCGTGGCTGCATCGACCACATCTTCAGTTTGCGTCAGTTGTTGAAGCACCGCCACACATATTGGTGGCCCACCGTTGTCGTGTTCCTCGACATCAAAGGTGCCTTCGATTCGGTTAATCGAAGTACTGTCTACTCAGGAAATATGTTAATATTATCCGAGCATTATACGTGCGTAGCACGGGCAGAGTGAGGGCTTACGACAAGCTGTCGCCGCCCTTCAATATCTCCAGGGGTGTGAGCCAAGGATGCCCGTTGTCACCTTTCCTTTTCAACTGCGCTATTGATGAAGTCATGGAAATCGCGTTTACAGGACACGACTTAGAAGATGTGGATCTGCTCCCAGGAGAACGACTTCTTGACTTGGCATATGCAGACATCATTGCCCTCATCTTTGACAGCTCCCAGACGTGCCAAGCGGCACTGGATAGATTAGCGCTGGCTGTCAGCCGCTTCGGGGTTTGCTTTGCACCATCGAAGTGCAAAGTTTTCTTCCGAGATTGGCAGGGATCGCCTCCTACGCTGACCCTTGGTGGGGATCAGCTAGAAGTCGTTCAGAAATTCAACTACCTGGGAAGTTGTATCAGCGCTCTGGGGATCGAAGACGAGATCACGAGCCGTGTGACGACAGCTCTAAGTGCTTTTGCTGACCTTCGCCACCTATGGCGGCGGCGTGACATCACTCTCGCCCTGTAGGGTAGAGTGTACACTGCAGTGGTACGTTCGACCCTACTGTATGGTTGCCGACCTGGCCCATAAGATCGGCGGACATGAAGAGGCTAGTTATGTTCGACCATGGGTGCCTTCGCAGTTTGCCTCACATCTGGTGGGAACACCGAATTAAAAACGAGTGTGTTCGACGTCTTGTTCACGGCACAGGAGAAGGAAAAGAACCACTTAGGACCGTCATTTTACGCACCAGGCTCCGATGGCTGGGCCACGTGTTGCGCATGCCAGCCCACCGACTCCCGCGACCTGCGTTTGCTCATCAGGGGTGTGGATGGAAGAAGAGGAAGGATGGCCAAGTGATGATTTCGTCGAGAGGAATGTAAACCCTCACTTTGGTGCTGGCTTCGGTTGGAGTTTCACGGATCCCTGGTTGGAGTCCGAAAGACGATGAACACGTTTGGCTAGATAGACTTTCTGACTTGGCTAGGAGCCGACCTCAGTGGCGTTTGTGCTGTGAGTTTCTTTATCCCTCCCCGTCCCTTTTAGCCTCACCCTCCAACCACGATCTAATTTGGTAGGGTAATATAATTTTGCATCATAATTTTTCTTGCTGCCTAATAGCCGACTGCTAGCTTTCTGGATCGGTGCCCATCCGTTGCTGGTAGCTCAGCTGGCATGCAACTGTTATTTCTTTTCTTTTCTATGTATTGCGGCAGAGTAGCTGAGGTGTTTTACACCTCTAGCTATCGTGTATAATGTTGATGATGATGTTGCGCATTCGCCTGCCGAGTCCGAATGGCACATTACACTGGAACTGGTTGCTGTACAACGCGATCTGCTTACACGAGTGCTTCATAAAAGTAATGAATGCCGCCAGTAACATATTTGCGGAATTGGGGGGTTTCGATCTTCCTCTCTACCATCCCTGCACTCCACGACTGACGGTTTCATGCTGGTTTGGTCTCATCAGGTAGTGATGGCCTGTGCTGGGAGTGAAATTCGGCACATAGTGCTTAGCGGCCAAGATTATGATCACTAGGCCATTGAGCTTCCCAAGCGGAGTTATTCTTTGGTCTACCGTCATTGACTTTCACGGGGAGGTAGGGGAACTCAGTCAACTTTACCTACCCGGCCGTAATCATTATTGTGAAACAATGTATTTGCTTGTTATTTTCCACTTAACTGGCCAGAGATGAGATCCACATGACTTTTTCTCGCTGTCCCATTCGTCAGCTTCCTTTTTATCTCTAATTCTTCACATCGTTGACATGGTCATTCTTTATTTTGATAGGCGTACTCACGCTGGAAAAGCCTCGGCCGTTCCATATTTGCTCGAGTTTTTGTGATCGGTGGTGTGACGGCTGTCGGTATATCCTATTTGGCATCGCCAGTGTTTGCCACAGACCTACAGGCGCACTGTCCATCATTGCCATGGAGTCATAAGGGCCCTTTATCTGCATTCGATCACGCGTCTCTCAGACGAGGTTACCAAGTTTACAAGGAAGTATGTGCAGCTTGTCACAGTATGCAATATATGGCCTATCGTCATCTGGTTAACGCGGTATTGACCCAACAAGAGGCAAAAGCCGATGCTTCCGAGGTGAGTAAAAGTATCGGATTTATTCGAATGCGCTTATTATATCTTCATAGTAGTTTTTCAAAAGCTTCGGATTCAGTTTAGGTTTATTTCGTAAACCAGTGTGGTTTGCACTGAAGCTCGGTTGAGCTAGTTCACTGAAATGCTACTCGTAATCATAATAAACCGCACTGGATAAGCAAAAAGGAAAGTCACCAGATGAATAATTGCGGGACAGAAATAATGCAACGATTGCAGGAGCTCCTCTGATCTTGGTTATGTTGTGTCCGATAGGCTATCTAGCCGCTGCTACCGCCAGTTCCTCGGTGTAATTCTTCATATTTTTACCTCATGCGATAAATTGGTCATTTCAGGGTTTCCTCCAATTAGACTCAGCAATAACAAACAATACACGCCGATGTAGCTAGGTTGACGGCCATGTGGACCACATGCTTGAGCCATCTGAGGAGATTCGAGTTCAACAAGCACTTCAATAAGGTACCAGGGAGTCTAATGCTATCCACACTTGAAGTGTAAGTTTTCAGTGAACAGGCTTGCACGTATGTGCATCGAACGACACGACAAAGTGCGAATAGATAAGCATGACCGCACTCAGATAAAACACTTCATCTGATCGGGAGAGCACTCGCATTTAACTGAAAGGTGGTGGTTTCGTTGGGGTACTCATCATGAGATTTGCCATACAGTAAGGTGCTTTCTTTTCTATATGTCCACCAAGGAGAGGAGAACGCCATAAAAGTAGAACCCGTCCAAAGAAACAGCGTTCTTGGCGCCCTGGAAGTATCTCAGCCCACATACAACCATGACATTTTCTCCAAACATAAACTTCATCCTACATCGACCGTCGCGCAGATTATCAAACGTCGCCTTATCTGCTGCATACAGCAGGGCGGATAATCGAAAACATGCTACTGCTGGCGCCTCCTTTCTTTTCCACCTGTTTCTCTTACTCCCATCCCGACTCCTATTGCTAACCTTCCTTCTATGATTCCCAGCTTAATTGACAGCAACCGAAGTGCTACTGGAGTAGAGCCATCTGCAGCCACCATCCCACTGCACCCACACTATCTCGTTTCGATGGCGACATTCAACGTTCGCACTCTAAGACAAACAACTCAACAGGCTGCACTCGCTCACACCTTGAACGCACTGGGTATTGATGTGTGTTGTGTGTCCGAAACTAGGATCAATGACCCTAACGGGGTTATTGAATTAACTGCACCCGGCCTATCCTCCCGTCTTTGGATGCACGCATCCGGAGACGCCGATGCAGCACTGACGGGTCAAGCTGGTGTAGGTATCATTCTAAGCTCCAAGGCTGAGCCATTGTTGGTTGATTGGATTCCGGTGAACAGCCGTTTATGTGCAGCCCGTTTGACGACATCAGCTAAAATGGATTCACAAAGTAATACAAACCGCTGTTTGTTTGTGATTTCTGCTTATGCTCCCACCGACTGCAGTTCAGAGGTTGACGAACTGAACGCACTACTACGCAGTGCTACTAGTTCAGATATTATAGTACTTGCAGGGGATATGAACGCACAAGTAGGGCGTCTGAGCTCCTCAGAAGCTCAGCTGGGTGGTAATTGTGGGCTTAACTCCGAACGGACTGACAACGGTGAGCGTCTGCTGCAACTGTGTGCGGAGCACTAGTTGTTTCTTAGTAGCACTGCTTTTAGACACAGTGGGCACCGAAGTGCCACTTGGCGTCCTCCTGTAGCTGGCCAGCGATGGACTCAAATTGACCACATAGCCATAAGTTACAGGTGGCGTGGTTCCATTCTTGATTGCCGCTCGTACTGGAGTACCTGTGTCGACTCTGCTCATGCTTTTGTATGCTGTCGTTTCCTCATGAGGTTTATCGGAAGGCGCACCAAGCGTCTTCTCCATTTGGCAACTGCGAAATTTGAACAAGGAAATGAGAAGACGAATATTGTCAGTACCAATACAATTACAGGGAAATCCTTTTATATTTCTTACATGGCACAGTCAAGCCAATCAAATTTGTGGTTGTGTTCATTGTTGTTGGAATTAGGTCCACGGCAACCGCAGGTTGACGACTACTTGCTTTTGGACACACAAAGCTGGTCTACTTCGGCTTATCGCGACGGCCTCGGCAAATCGTAAAAGTCGTACATTAGTATGACGTAACAAAATCCGGAATGCTGATAAGGGATTAACCCGGTGACGAGTCGCCAAGATGTGTCTGCCTATGGAGGACGCTGGCGGCTTACGCGAGCTGGATTGAGTAACTGTGCCCTGTAAGACATATAAAAGGATTTCCCTGTTATTGTATTGGTATTGACGAGATAATACGAAGTGCTAGCATCTGCCAATATTCGTCTTCTCATTTCGTTGTTCAAATTACTGAAGGGAACTAACTGTTTTAAGCTGAGAAATTGTCTCAGCCATCGGTCAGGCAGGCTTATGAAGACGCACTGCGTACCGAACTTTCGCTGTCTTGTCCTAATGACACTGAGCTTCAGTGGAATAGGATCTCGGCCGCCATGCACGATGCCGGAGCATCTGCTTGTGGCACTGTCAATCGTCACCTCACCAGTCACTGAATATCCAAGAGGTCGGTGAACCTGTTGGAATCTAGAAGACACCTCCCGACTGGCTCTGAACACAATGTGACCAGACGGGCTATTAGGCGTGACCTAAAGCAGAGCCTACGTGCTGGCAAGAAAGTCTGGTGGACCAGTCGGGCTCAGGAAATGAAGGAGGCAGGAGCAGTATTCAATTACAGCAAGCTTTTCCAGCTAATCCGCACGACTGGTCCCAGAAACCCAGGCCTCAGTGAGACAATCAGAGACAGTGCGAGTGCACTGATACACAATAAGGAGCGCCGTATGGCTCGTTGGGCGGAACACTTTCAAAATCAGTTCAGCTGGCCCCCTGCTCCCGGACCTCTTCCTACTCAGGTGATGCAGGACGAGTCATGGACGGTTAGTTTAGAGCCTCCATCGGAGGCCGGGGTTCAAAACACGATAACAGCTCACAATCGTTTTCGTGCTGCTGGCTCGGATTCCCTCCCACCTTCACTATTTAAGGATGGAGGTGAGGTCCTCTGCAAAGCACTGACCTCCCTATTCGAACGTCCCGGCTAATTGGAGCGAATCGATCATATTGGTACTATACAACAAGGGCAGTCGCACAGACTATGCTAACAGCAGAGGTATTAGCCTAACCCCAGTTGGGACAAAATTCGTCCATGGTTCGTCAGTGGGCGTGATACTACCTGGTTGCCCAGGCCGAAGTAGAGGGTTGTCTTACGGGGCCCTACCCCGAACCTTTGATCAAGGATTTAACCTACACGACAGCAGGGCGATATAAGGGTATCGCAACCCGTTGGGAGCCGGTGACCAAATGAGTGGTTCATACGCCTTTAGGACCGTATAGTAGCAGGGGCCCAACACACCCTTGTATTACAATGCCACTCAGAGACAAGTGGCAGTGACTTTATTTACTGGGGAATCACATTTGCCACGTCACAGTGTTGTTAAACGGACATATGTGGCTTTTTATAGGGAAAACGCTTGCCAGGCGAAAACCCACCACGTCCTGGAACACTGCCGCCGAGTCATTCGCTGGAACGGGATTGTCCCGAACCACCCAGCTGGCACCACAAGGAGGTTGTTCGGCAAGCCAGCCGAACTTACAACCACAACCATTCACCCGCTGTTTTGCTGCTACCATGCTATTCACTCATATCACTATGTCAACTGAACAAGCACACGCCACCATTTTACCTACAATTCCCTTGTACCATTCACACCCAGTTTTGCCTCATTCCTCTACGGCGATCAACCTCACCTACACTGATGAGCCTGTTCCCGCGACATATGCCAACTCAACCACACAGTACTTAACAGAGAGCTGCCGGTCCCAAAGTTGCCCATCTTCGCTCGTGCAACCCTAAATGCTGTTCAGACTTGCAGCCTTCAACGTACGCACATTACTGCAGATCGGTCAGCAAGCTGGACTTGCACGCACGCTAGAGACCGTTGGAATTGAAATCTACTGCCTGAATGAAACACGACTTCAGGACTCAAACTCGGTCTACCAGCTGGTGTCACCGCTCCCCCCCCCCACACACGCGTTTCAATCTCCGCCTCTCTGATGACGCCGAGTCTGCCGCATCTGGGCAAGCTGGTGTTGGAATCGCCCTCAGTGCTAGAGCCGAGACTGCTTTGATTGATTGGATTCCGATCAATAGCCGCGTTTGTGCGATGAGGCTCCATGGCTCTTGTAAAGTTAGCAGACGTCGAGTCGAAAAGCGTGCTCTCTTCGTGATCTCTGCCTACGCGTCTACTGACTGTAGCTCGGACACCGTCAAAGACCAGTTCTACCAGAACCTTCATGAGCTGCTCTTAAGGGCTCCTAAAACAGACATCATTGTTTTGGCAGGTGACTACAACGCGCGTGTCGGTCGTCTGCTGCCTTGTGAGCGCCACCTCGGGGGACCGCATAGATATGATGATGTTCGCTCAGACAATGGAGAGAGACTGCTCAGTTTGTGTGCTGATCATCAACTATTCCTCTCCAACACCAGCTTTCGTCATTCTGAATGCCAGTACGCCATTTGGCGCCCCCCATCATCAACCCAGCGCTGGTCACAGATTGACCACATTGCTATAAGTCGCAGGTGGCACGGCAGCGTACGTGATTGCCGATCCTTTTGGTCAACATGCGTCGATACTGATTATGCACTGGTGTGTGCGACCGTTTGCATGCGTTTTGGTGGTTCTCCTAGGTCAAAACACACCCGACTGAACGCCTACAAGTTGGAGGACCCAGTGGTGAAGAAAGAGTATCAATAAAGGCTTCGTGAAAATCTCTCTCTCTCACACACACTGTAGATGTTGATCAACACTGGTCAAGTCCGCAACAAGCCTTGCTGTCGGCCGGTTTGTCCAGCTGTGACCTTGCTCGCTCCACTCTCAAAAGCTGGATCTCGGCAAGATCCTCGGAATTGCTGGATCGCCGACAGGCGGTGCCTG